ACTGGCTCGCAAACGCCTGGACGTGAGAAACAATGCTTCTGCTCACATCTCCATGGCAAAGGGTCATCACACAACCCTCCCTAACTACAAGGGGACTGGCAAGGTGGTGTCCCCTGTATTCTGGAAGGAAAGCAAGACACACTATGGATGAACATTAAAGTTTCTCCCATGCATTGTTACACAGTAGGGGCTTAACCAAATGCAACTATTATAATTTGTTATGACTGACTTTATTGCTGGGAGGAATTTCTTTTTTTAAGATTTTTTTTATTTGTCAGTGAGAGAGAGAGAGACAAAGAGATTGCACAAGCAGGGGGAGCAGCGGGAGGAGGGAGAAGCAGGCTCCCCATTGAGCAGGGAGCCTGATGTGGGACTCGAGCCCAGGACTCTGGGATCATGACCTGAGCCAAAGGCAGATGCTTAACTGACTGAGCCACCCAGGCATCCCAGGGGAGGAGTTTTTGAGGTCAGTTTACCTTGGAATTCTTTGAAATTTTCAAGCACCTCCTGTGTGACAGATACTTTCAAGTACAGGATGACATCTAATTTTCAAACGATTCTGTGATCTCAGCAGGGAGGATTCACTTCTTCATTTAGTGACCAGAGGATTACTACAGAGAGTAAGGTTCTATGTTGAGGGAGAGAAGGTGATTCCTAGCTGTTCCATGGGGACCAGTGATGAGTTCATTAGCAGGCCAGGTTCAAGGGTGAGACAGAAGAGCACACAGGGGAATACCAGGGAAAGGCTGCTGTAATTTGGGAAAGTGCCAGGTCTGGAAAAAATGCCAGCGCCTGGGCAGTCAGTTTTCAAAGAACTCTGAGGTTCAGGCAGAAGAACTCTAGGTTAATAAAGCCCACAGACAGTACCCAAAACCTGTTTGATTCTCATTGTCAGCTTCCTTCCTTAGCAACAGGTTTTTTTAGTACCTTAGCCACAGCATCCTTCTTTTTGTCACCTGGAAGACACCATGCTGTCCTCAGGAATGATGTAGGACTCGGAAGGTTGGCCACAGGCTGCAGTGGGTGGGAACAGCGTGGACTCTACACGAATTCTGACCCGGGTTCTAGTCTCTGCCCTGTCACTCACTAGCCATGTGATCCTGGGAAAATGACCAAGTCCTAGGAGCCTCAGGTTCTTTCTGAAGTGAGTGAGTTAAGTGAGTGAATTTGATAAGCCCCATCTTGCAGGACTGCAGGAATGCATGTGATATATGGAAAGCACCTTGCACAGTGCCTGGCACATATTGGAACTTTGATGAATGGCAGTGATTTCAAGTGTTGTTTTGATCCCAGGGCCTTCCACTCTCTCCTCTGGGTTATTTATTTATTTATTTATTTTTGTTACCGAGGTCATGTTAGAGAATGTGCAGCTCAATAGGACATGGAATAGCTAATCAGCCAAAGAGGGTGCTTCATAAGTAAAACTCAATCCATTTTCTAAATCAGAGGACATATGTGAGATATATGAGAATATGTATGGCATTCAGGTGTGAGGGAATTGTCCCAGCTGGACACAATACAAAGCTCCTAGAATGTGAGTCAAAGACCAGCTCCTTCCCTCCCTCCCAGCTGCTCTTCCACCAAACCACTCCTTTCACTCATTTCTCCCCCCACCAAAACCTAGACCTTGCTTACTTAAAGCTGTCCAAATTACACTCCAGATAATCAAACTAAAATGACTTTTTAATGCAGTGGGTTCTGGCTTTGCATGGTTAGGACAAGAGTGCCAGTCTAGAGTCTTCTGGGCTCCAATTCAAAGAAATATCACTGTATTTCTCCAGAAATACTTGGAGATGATGGATATAAAACACCTAGTCTGTGCACTGTGTTCAACGGCCTTGGGATGAGAGTGCAGGATACCTTCTTTTCCTGCCCCAGGAGGAGATTTCTCCCTGGTTTGTCCATGATCCAGAAGGAACTTCTCAGAGCAATTATCCATTTCAGACTTTGCTCCCACCTCTAAGGTACCCTGTCTCCAAGTAGGGCCACTGTCCCCCCCCAGGTTCACGGTGATCAGCTGCACAGAAGGAAGCACGGTGACCCGACACCCTGAGCCACCCAAGGCCAGGGGCACTTCCACTGCAGTGCTTGCCCCAGGAGCCGCACTCCCTCACCCTTCTTCCACTTCTTCTGCAGGTCTCAGGGCACCTCTCCCCACTTTCCTGCCATGAGTGCAGCTGCTAGACAGTCCCCTAAGTGTGGAACGTGTCCTGCTTTTCCTAATGTCCTCACTGCTCACACACAGGGCCTTCCAGAGAGCAGAGCTCAGCCCATGTCTGGGAATCAAGGAGCCAGTGAGCAGGGCTCCCTCTGTGCTGAGATGTCATTTCTCCTCTTTTCTTGAAGAACTAAGTGAATGAAGGCACACCCATCTATGTTACTTTTGCAGAATGACAGACAAGAAAGTGTAAGAAGCAAAAATGAATAATCTTTTATTTCCGTATTTCCTGACCCCGTCACTTGACTGCTCCGTTTTTCCAACTTTCCAACAAATTCCTATGCCAATGCCCCGTGATTTCATTCCAGAACCCAAACAAGGAGGGAAGATCTCCCACCTTATTTCCAGAACATGACAAAACTCTTAAAACTCTTGAACTGGGTAAGTCCAAATGCTGTGGGGTGGATGTCACGCACACATTTACCTGCCGAAGCTGGTTAAAACTTCTACTCCAAGGAACAACATTTGAGAGCTTCCTCAAGAAATCCAAGCTCTGGATGTCAGAGTCATCGCAGAGAATAGGCCCCCAGAGAGGCTGGCTCTTCACCCTGCTTTCTTCCCCCAACCCTCCCTGGCCCTGCCTTACTTAGAACTCCCGGGGCTCTCTCTTTTCACACACATACAGGGAAGAACCAAAATGTGGCCTCACTTCATGCCCAGCACCCCGCAGGAGAAGCTGCCGACCCCACCAAAGCCTGGAAAGGGCCTGGCCGCCACTGGGACTCAGGCCTCCTCTCCCTCATCTCTCATAGCCCCTTCAGACAGGGCCAGGGAGGAAGCCAGCTGCTCGCGCCTGACCCGGAGCACACACTCCAGCACTTGAACCTTGCTGGTTCAGCATGGGCCCTGGGACCCCACGGGAACTCGTAGCGGTCAGGGTCGCTGCCAGGCACCTGCCGGTACTCCAGGTACCCTTCCTGCACCCAGACTTTGGTGAGGAGCTCCCTGGGCTCCCCATAGATGATGTGCTCCTGGCCGGCATACAACCCCATGACCCCCAGCGTTTCCCAAACCTCCACCTTGGGGGCACGGTTGCCATGCAGGAGGCTCACCCCCAGTAGCAGCACCAGGAGGCCGGTCTTGGGCTTGCTATGCTCACCGCTCAGCATCCCACCACAGGTGAGACCCAGGACATTGACCAGGATGTAGGAGTGGTCACTGCGGTCCACTTCCGGCTCCTCCCAGGTGCTCGACCCCTCCTCATCTAAGCTGCTGAGACCTCCTCTTCCCCAGCCCCCACAAGCTGTGCCTCCACCAGGCCCTGGGCTGGGCCTGGGACTTCCTCCATTAGCTCCTGACCCCCGGTTTTTTAAAGCAGGCCCCCAGCCTCTGTCAGACCTGGATGCGGACGTCCTGACACACCGCCTGTGGACTTGGCACAAACAGGCCTCCCAGGACGGACAGCAGGGGCAGGCTTCAGTGCGTTGTCCCTGTTCTGGAGTCCAGGTCCCTCCCTGAGCCCTCCCTCAGGGATCTCAGCATGAGCCGCAGCACATCTGGTGATCTTGTCTCTGCTCTCTCCAGGCCCGTTCCCTCGGACCAAAGCCCTCACTGCCCTGAGAGCCACGGGCAAAGACTGTGGACGTTGCATCAGGCTACAAAGTCCAGGGATTCCCCGAGATAGGTCCTTCAGGTCCCTTAGCCCTACCCTCTGTTCCCCATTTGGACTCCCTGGATAGCCGGTGCACTCATCCCTGCTCCTGAGGGCTACTCCTCACAACAAGCGCTCAGTGTCTCTGGGACTCAGAGCAGAAGTCAGGACACGCCTCATGTCACTGTTGTCTCACCCAGAGGCCTCCCAGGACTGATTCCCTACTGGGTCCAGGGTCCTTCATTCCTCCCTCTGGTCCTCACCTTGACTCCTGACAGAACCTGGGCCCTCCTGCCCCTGTCCCCACACGTGTGTGCGCGTGCTTGCCTTTGGCATTTGCACAATGATGGTCGGGAAGGCATCAGAAGCAAGAACCAGCAAACTTCTATCTCTTCAGCTTCTGACCCCTGTTCCTTGCTTCTTCCGTTCTTGCGCCTTTCCAACCCATCCCTAGACCAATGCCCTGTGATTTCGGTCCAGAGCCCAAACAAGTAGGCAAGGTGTCCAGGCTGGTGTCCAGGGCATGAAAAAAAACTTTTTCTTAAAGGCATTTATTTATTTGAGAAAGAGAAAGCACACACAGGGGGAGAGAGAGAAGCAGAGTCTCCACTGAGCGGGGAGCCCCATGTGGGGTGTGATCCCAGGATCCTGAGATCCTGACCTGAGCCGATGGCAGACGCTTAACCAACAGAGGACCCAGGCGCCCCGAGAACATGATAAAACTCTAACTCTTGAACTGGGTAAGAACAATTGCTGCAGAGTGGATGGTACTCACACAATTAGCCCCTGAAGCGGCTGAAACCTTCTATGGCAAGGAACCCCACAGGAGAGCTTCCTCAAGGACACCAAGCTCTGGATGTGGGAGTCATCCCAGGAAACAACCCCCCCACCCCCAGGAGGCTCCTTGCCCTGCTTTCTTCTCCCAACCCTTCCTGGCCCTGCACTCCTTAAAACGCCCAGGGCTCTGTCTTCACTGGCACCCACAAACACACACACAGGGAAGAACCAGCAAGCGGCCTCACTTCATGCCCAGCACCCCGCAGGAGAGGCTGCCGAACGTAGCAAAGCCTGGAAAGGGCCTGGCGGACCCCAGGGCTCAGGCCCCCTCTTCCTCATTTCTCACAGCCCCTTCAGACAGGGCCAAGGAGGAAGCCAACTGCCCGCGCCTGACCCGGAGCAAATACTCCAGCATTTGCAACTTGCTGGTTTCGGCGTGGACCCTGGAACCCCATGGGACCTCGTAGCAGGCAGGTCACTGCCGGGCACCTGCTGGTACTCCACGTAACCTTCCTGCACCCAGACCTTGGTGAAGAGCTCCCTAGGCTCCCTGTAGATGATGTGCTTCTGGCCGGCATACACCCCCATGACCCCCAGCGTTTCCCACACCTCCTCCTCAGGGGCACGGTCACCATGCAGGAGGCTCACCCCCAGGAGGCCGGTCTTGGGCACTCCCTACTCACCGCTCATCATCCCATCTCCCGTCATAGGTGAGGCCCAGGATGGGGACCAGGATGTAGGAGTGGTCGCTGGGGTCCACTTCCTTCACATCCATACCAAAGACCAGCTGCAAGCACTCGGAGGCCTGGCCCAAGATCACAGGGAAGGCATCCAGGGCATCCTGACCGACGATCTCCAGCATCTCTGCCTGGCTGGTCGGCTCCTTGATGTGATACTTGAGGAGCAGGAACTCTACCAGCTCGGCCAGCTTCCCCTGGATTATGTTTTGGAGCCACGGCTGGGGTTCTTCAGGCTCCTCGCAGGGGCTGGACCCCTCCTCATCGGAGCTGCTGGAGCCCTGGTCAGGCTGGCTGCAGGCAGTGGCTGCTTGGGCAGTGGGGGAGGGGCAGGCACTCAGAGAGCTCTGGGGATGACTCTGGAACCCAGCAGCAGACCCCTCCTCCGAGGGGACCAGAAACAGGGCAGAGCAGGAGCCCGATGGGGCGGCAGACTGGGAGGAGGCCAAGGTGGAGAAGGAGGAGGGGGTACAGGGGACCTTCTCCTCCCCAGCCCCCAACTGCTGTGCCTCCACCAGGCCCTGGGCCGGGCCTGGGTCTTTCTCCAGCTTCCAGAGCTCACTCCTCTGACCCAGGGGCATGGTGTTTGTGTCCGGCTGAACCTGAAGAAAGAGGTGGGATGGCTCCTCAGGGTGCAGCCCAGGCAGCAGAGGCCTGAAGTCCTGGAGCTCACAGTGCACTGCGTCAGACTTAGGTGCCGAGGGGTCCCCTCTGGGGTGGGACGGGCGAGCCCCTGGCTCCATGATCAGAGCAAGTACCTCACCTTGACCACTGGCACTCACCTGCACCTCCCCTGCTCTGGGACCTTAGAAGCTCCTGCCTCAGACCTAGGCCTCGACTCTGAATTCTGGAAGCCCCTGGAGGAGAAAAGGAGGAGTCACTTCAGGGTGCAGACACAGAGCACGGCCCACGGCCCCCAGTGGGGCAGGAGGGCTGGGGCGGATTCTGTGAGGTCCCCATTCGTCCAAGCTGGGTGGTCCCCTCCTTGGCCCCTCAGGGGACTGCTATTTCCCCTGGCAGGGCCTGGGGCCCTGCAGCCTGAGGTCACAGGGTCACAGCAAGACCGCCCAGCCCTGAGACTCCACAGAAGGTAAGCGAGGGGGCCCACCTCTGCCCACGCCTGCCAGAGTTCTAAGGGCTCATCTCAGGATCCCAGGGACGGCCAAGCTCGGGTACCGTCTGTGCTGGGATGGGCGCACCTCTCCGTCTATACCTTGACCCCACGGAAGGCCTGGGAAAACTCCCAGTGTTGACCGGAGGCCACCCTCCTGGTGCCAAGGCCTCATCTCTGGGAGACGCCAGAAGGAAAAGTCAGGAGAAATAACTTGGCCCACCGATCGCCCGTCTCCCCATGGCTGGCAGCAGCATCAGGGTAGGCTTGGGCCCTATGGATCTTGCTGTGGGAAGCATCCCCTCATTTCTCATCTGCCCCCCACCATCAGGGCCAGACCCAGAGCCAGGGCACCTGCCTCCTCTGCTACCGGAGTCCAGACCCTCAGGCCCGGGCCCTCTCCATCCTGAGAGGAAGGATCTGGAGAGGAGGAGGGACTCAGCCTGACAGGCCCCACCCAGCATTCCCAGGGCCTCCAGGTAGGGGCTGCACAGACTTCTGGTCCATCCCTTCCTGGTCCCGCGGGGTGGATGGAGAGTCACTCACTCTTCCCTCGGGTGTCCCCACACTGATTTCTTGGCAGGAGCAGGGACTCCTGTGTGTCTCCCAGGTGCGCTTCCCCAGATGACCTGACCACGACCTCTCCCAGCATGGTCCTCACCTCCCTGAGAGCTCCGAGAAGAGGGTGAGGAGCCAGCACTTCCTCATCAACGGCCACGTCTCCATGCCCCCCCTCAGTCCCTGGCAAGATCCCAAAGGGCTGGTAGTAGGGACGGGCCCCTCTGTCCTGGGGTGCGGATGCCCTCAGGCCCCCAGGACGCTAATCTTCTTTCTTCCTGCCAGGGCCTGCCCTTCTTCCAGGTCCCCAACGTGAGACAGAAGCCATGTGCCCCTCAGACCAAGACCTCAGCTCTCCGAGGACTCCCGCCTTCTGGCCCATGAGACAAGTGAGCATGCGTGCCAGGTTGGGCCCCCACTGACCGATCCTCCCTGGATCGGGCACGGCCAGACTCCGGGGCCCTGGCTTCTTTGCTGAGATGGGGTGGAGGGGGTATGGTCAGTCCTCCCCCAGGGTCCTCACCCTGACTCCCAACCGGACCCGTGCCCCGCCCCCCCGCCCCCGCACTCCACCCTCACACACACACAGGCCCGCCCCACCCCAGGCCCGCTCATTCTCACCACAGGCCCTCAGGCTCTAAGATGTGGACCCCCAGACAGGAGGCATGGGCTCATCCTCCACAAGGGTCCTCCTCCATGGCCTGTCCGTACTGCAGCCCATTCAGTCCTCCCTCTGGTCCTCCCCTTCCATCCTGGCAGGACCGGGCTCAGCCTGGGCCGCCCTGAAGCCTGCTCCTTCTACCCAGACCCCAGGCTCTAGGAGACGTGGCTGGGAAGTCAGGGCACGCCCTAGGTGACCATCTGGCCTTGGGGCCTCCTGGGACCAAATCTGTTCGCTGTCCCCAATGCTGCAGTCCTCCTTCCGGTCCTCGCATTTCCACCCAGCAACACGTGGGCCACGGGCCCCCACCCGCATACTCGAGGCAGTGCTCCATCAAAGGGGCAGGGGTTCTCGGAGGCCCTGAGGCCAATGTGGCCATGCACTGTGTGGGCTCTTCCATCCCAGGAGTCTCCCATGGCTGAATCAGGGCCACGGTCCTGCGGGCTCCCTGGGGAGTCCCTTGGGGGTCCTTGGTTCGAGCCCTGGCAGGTCCTAGGCCCCTCCGTCTGATGTCCCCAAGCTGACCTGCCATCAACAAGGCCCTCCCTGCCCTGAGCCCACCGAGTTAAGTCTGTGACCAACACGTGTGACCATGAAGCCCAGGGCTTCCGAAGGCTGAGATGGGGCGTCCAGGTCTCTCGGGCTTTCTTCTGATCTCCACCAGGACTCCCTGGCTGCCTATGCCTCTGCCTATCCCTACTGCCTGTGGATCGGCTCCTGGGCACCGGGGCATCCCGTGTCTGGGACACACGGATGGACAAGTGGGGGACACACAAGCGCACGCACGAACACAATCGGGGTGTCCCCGTCCTCCACTCAGGCCTCTAGGGACTGACTCTGGGCTGGGGTCCAGGGTCTCTCAGTCCTCCCTCTGCAACTTCAGCGTAAAGCCCAACAGGACCTGGCCCTGCCCCTCTGCCCCCCTGAGGGTGGCCCTGCTCCTTCGATCCACCAAGGACCCCAGGTTCTCGGGAGACCCAGATGCAGAAGTCTGCCGCACTGGCCACATGTCCCCATCCCGCCCGGGGGGGGGCTCCCTAGACTGACATCATGGGTGGGCTTCTGCGGGGCTCCCCTCTGTCCTCCCTCAGGGTTTAACCCTGGCCTCTGCACGCCACCCCCCGCCACGGGGTGACCAGGGCCCTCCCCTCTGCCCACCTGAGCATCTGCTCCTTTCATCAGGCCCTCACCTCAGTCTCTCTGAGACCCGGACTCCGAAGTCCAGACTCACCACGTGTTCCAATCAGCCCCCCTTCCCCCAATGGACCTTCCCTGACTGACGCTGTGCTGGGGTCCAGGGTCCCTCAATCCTCCCTCTGCATCCTCACCGTAAAGCCCAGCAGGACCTGAGGCCTCCCCTCTGCCCAATGAGGGAGGCCCTTCTCCTTTTGCCAAGGCATCCAGCGTCTTTGAGACCTGGATGCAGAAGTCAGGACTCACCACGTGTTCCCATCACCCTCCCCCCGCCACGGACCTTCCCAGACTTGAGGCTGGGCGGCGGTCCAGGGTCCCTCAGTCCTCCCTCTGCATCCTCAGCGTGAAGACCAGCAGGACCAGGGCCCGCCCCTCTGCCCACCCAAGGGAGATCCAGCAATTGCACTACTGGGTATTTACCAGAAAGATAGAAATGTAGGGATCCGAAGGGCTGTGAACCCCAATGTTTATAGCAGCAATGTCCACAATAGCCAAACTGTGGAAAGAGCCAAGATGGCCATCGACAGATGAATGGATAAAGAAGAGTATATATACACAATGGAATATTATGCAGCCATCAAAAGGAATGCGATCTTGCCTTTGCAACGACGTGGTTGGAACTGGAGGGTGTTATGCTGAGTGAAGTAAGTCAATCAGAGAAACACATGTATCATATGACCTCACTGATATGAGGAATTCTTAATCTCAGGATACTGAGGGTTGTTGGAGTGGGGGTGGGGTGGGAGGGATGGGGTGGCTGGGTGATAGATATTGCATAGGTTTTGTGCTATGGTGAGTGCTGTGAATTGTGCAAGACTGTTGAATCACAGATCTGTACTTCTGAAACAAATAATGCAATATAAGTTAAGAAAAAATAAAAAGAAGAAGATAGCAGGAGGGGAAGAATGAAAGGGGGGAAATCGGAGGGGGAGACCAAGCATGAGAGAGGGTGTACTCCGAAAAACAAACTGAGGGTTCTGGAGGGGAGGGGGGTGGGGGATGGGTAGCCTGGTGATGGCTATTAAAGAGGGCACGTTCTGCATGGAGCACTGGGTGTTATGCACAAACAGTGAATCATGAAACACTGCATTAAAAACTAATGATATAATGTATGGTGATTAACATAGCAATAAAAATTTAAAAAACAAAACAAAAACAGCTCCTGGATTCATTAATTTGGTTTTCTTGGGTTTTGTTTGTTTTTTAGTTTAAATTTCATTTGTTTTTGATTAATCTTTATTTTTTTTCTTTCTACTGGCTTGGTTTTTCTTTTTGTTTTCCTAGTTCCTTTAAGTGTAATGTTATGTTTTTTATTTGATATTTGTCTTGCTCTGTGATGTATTCCTGTATAGTTATAATGTCTCCTCTTAGAATAGTTTTGCTGCATTCCAAAGATTTTGGATCTTTGTAGTTTATTTTCATTTTTCTCCATGTATTTTTTGATTTCCTTTTTTAGTTCTTGTTTCATCTATTCAATATTTGGTAGAATGTTATTTAGCCTCTATGTATTTGTGCTCTTTCCATCTTTTTTTCTTGCAATTGCTTCCTAGTTTCATACTATTGTGGTGAGAAAAATGCAAGATACAATTTCAATCTTTTTGAATTTGAGACTTTTTTGTGGCCTAATATAGGATCCATTTTGGAGAATGCCTCCTGTACTGGAAAAGACTGTGTATTCCAATATTTTTTAAATGAAATGTTCTGAATATATCCGGTAGGTCCATCTGGTACATCGTGTTATTCAAAGTCATTGTTTCCTTGTTGATTTTCTGGCTAGATAATCTATCCATTGATGCGAGTGAGGTCTTGAAGTCCTCTATTGTATTACTGTGATTAACTTCCTTTATGGCTCTTAAGAGTTGCTTTATGTATTTCAGTGCTCCTATATTGTGTGCATAAATATATTGTTTTAAGTTTCTTGTATCTTTCAGCACTAATTAATGTAACATGCCACACCTCTCTGGCCTGCAAAGTTTCTAAGAAATTTATTGATAGTTTTATGTCATTTCCCTTATATGTAACTTCTCTTTTCTAGTGCTTTTTAAAATAATTCTCTCTTTATCACTACTTTTTGCCATGAGGTGTCTTTGTTTGCACCTCCTTGCGTTGATTTTTTGGGAGGAGGCTTTCTTTGTGCCTCCTGGATCTGGATACCTCTTTCCTTCCCCAAATTAATGAAATTCTCAGGCATTATTTCTTCAAATAAATTTTCTGCCCCTCTTTCTCTCTCTCATTCAGGATTCTTTATGAAGTGAATGTTATTAATCTTGATGATATGCTGAGTTCCCTTCACCTTGTCACATACTTTTTATTCTTATTTTCTTTCTTTTTTGCTGTTCATCTTTGTTGTTTTCAATTAATCCTCCTTTAGCTCCCTGATCCATTCCTCTGCCTCATCTTATATGCTATTGCTTCCCTCTACTGTATTTTATTTCAGTTACTGAGCTCTTTATCTAAGTCTGGGTCTCTTTTCAATATGTTCTGTCTTTGTCTCACTGAGAGCCTACAGTCTTTTCTCAAATCCCATGAATATCTTACAGCCATTACTTTGAATTTATAACAGTCATATTGATTATTTCTGTTCATTTATCAATTTGATGCAGTTTTGCCCTTGTTCTTTTGGGACATATTCCTCCACCTCATTATTATGTGTAACCCTCTGTGCTTCTTTCCTATGTATTTGGAAAATAAGCTACATTCCTTGACCTTAACAGTCATGGCTTTTTGAAGAAGAGGTCCTGTGGTGTCCAGCAGCACAATGCCCTGGTTCACCAGAACCAGGTACTCTAAGGAGGTCTCTATGTGGATTGTGTGCACTTTACTATCATGACTGACTAGAGTTTCCTTCAGTCCATTTGGCTGCAACTGAGCACTGAGCTTGTTACACCAAGAAGGTTTTTGATCAACCCTGTGCTGTGAAGGGACCAGCCTGCTGCAACATGTGCTAGAAGTTGGAAGGTGACAGCAGTCAGCAAAATGCCTGCCCTAAGCTCATGTGCAGGGGCTACTTGAAGGATGGTATCCTTGCCGTGTGCCTTGAGGCTCCCAAAGTGGGCAGTAATAGCA